GGCATATGCACTCAACAAATTGACTTTTAGCGGTCTTTAAGGAATTCTTGAATAAATTCATTCAGTGTTTGTTTTTTGATGTAGCAGAAAGGATGCCTTTTCTAGGACAGAAATTGTCAAAATCTCTTATCATCAGTCTTGTTACCTGTATAGATTAGTTTGATACTTTTCAGTGAAGATTTGATCGAGTTTTCATTTCTGCTGTTTTTCATTCAACTTCGAAAATTGGCTTATTATCTCTTTCACTCTGGTCTTTTGAAAATCCATCTTGGAAAGTTATTTTACAGTCTTCTTTTCAACAGGATAGCTAGAAGTTAAAATTGCCTGACTGAATAAATAAAATGATTATAATGAGTTTAACACATCTACAAACGTTGCTAAGACTATGCAAAATTATTCAGTGGATCGATTGTCATGATACACAATGATAATTGATTGAGGAAGGGAATTGAAACTTAGATTGCTGCAGAATTCGTATCACTGGCTTTTGGGTTACTGAACTGGTGTCCTACCTGTTGAGCTATCTCTGTTTAGAAAATTTCTTACTTTTGATAAGATTTTCTTCCTATCAATTTTCTATAAATCCGCCTTACTTTTGATATATTACCAGAAAAACTAATAGGAAATTTATGAAGCAATTATCATTTCAACTTACATTTTTATTCGTAGTAACTTCCTTCGGTTCGTAATATGCACATTTTGTCTTTTATCCCCCAAAATTTGCCTCCAGTTGCTTAATCAATCATTCAAATCTTCAATACGATTAGATTACTGCTCAAGACTTTGCTCCCCAAGGAGCATCCAATTATTTTAGCAGAAATTCCATTTTGACTGATCTAACCCTAAATTAGTTCAACTCAGTTGTTAATATTTGCCATTTATTTCTGTTAACAGTACATTGTTTGTTTGAATCACAAATACTGAGTGATAAATTAGAAAAACAGTTTTTTCAGGGAGACGACTCAGGCTATCTAACTAAGTTCTCCATTATCAACTGTATTGTTTCTTGATTTCTCCAGATTATACAGTGATTGACAGAGAAGAATATTATAATGGATAATTAGGCACTCAGATTGTAAACACAGTGAGAGAAACACCATGGATACATTCGTTAGATTTGATGACTTTTTGTGTTGCTACAATAAAGAAAGATGACTATGAGCATAAACTACCAACCACACTAAATATAACACTTATATTTGAAGTGAACAACATCAAGAAAGAAGTGACACTGGGAAGTGAGAAAGCAGTAAACAAATAACTTGGGAAACATTTTATAACTAATTCGACTCCCAAGTTAACTCGTCTCACGAGACAAGCGGTTCTGAGGTTTATGTGTTTGCTTTCAAAAATCCAATTTTGTAAGGTGTATTCTCGTACTTCTGACATTTGGATCATTTAACCATTTCAGATATGTTCATGGTGCTCTGTTTTGTGCGCTCATCGTTTGTGTAGGTGTCAAGGGATGCAATCGTTAACATAATTTACCAACAATGTAATTTGATATATTAACTTGGGGCAGAGCTGATGCCGCATTCATTCTCCACAAACGCAAGCACACACACATACATGAAGGTTTTAGTTCACTCTCATCGGTCAACTTAGTCAAGTATGAGTAGTCTTCGTTGTCATCTTTCTGAGTGATCTAAAAATATGAGGGTGAGTCTGGTAATCAGGTAAATGAAGAACTACTGTATGTGTGTAAGTGATATATTCATTCACAGAAGTGGTATAAATCATGCATCTCAATAGTTCAACAAGATAAGGTTATCAAGGACGACAAATGTGACACAGGCTAATTTTCCTGATTTCTGGTGAAAAGAAACAAGATTACTGCTAAGAAAACCATTCCTAGATAAGACATCATCTTATTTGCAATGGTTTTTTCCACCTTATATAAGTGTGAACCAACTACAGCATTTTACAGTGGTGAAGGAATTTTCTGTTTAAAAGAGAATAAGATTTAGCCGTTACTGAAAAGAGAATAGAGATGAATTGCTACTGTGAGACATTTTCTGAAAAGTGAGGAAAACATTGAACTGCAGCGAACGAGCATACAAGTACTGTGGAGATTATACCTTTATTAGTCATACTTTTTTGGACATGAGAATGTAGGAGAAGAGGTGAAAAGATCATTGGGACAATCAATATGGAGTGTCCTCACGACGTGATAAAATGTTGTGTGTACAGACTAAAAACTTTCTGTGATATGGTATATCATTTAATGTCCAGTCAACTTTCACCGCTGCTTCATTGACTGAAACTATCTCTTTCTTATCCAGATACATAGAAGATAACAGCATAACTGGTGTTATACCGAACCTCCACCTTAAGGAATTGTTACTTAGATGCAAATATAACGCCCAATTCACATTTAACAATGTGACTTATAGATAGGTAGATAGAATCACCATGAGGTCTCCACTAGTTCCACTACTAGCAGTCCGCTTAATGGCCAGTTTGAAGTACTGACCCTTGAAGTTGATGACTGAATGTTTTCAACTGCACGAAAGGTATGTTTACGATAACTTTATTATCTATGATAATCACTGCAATTTGAATCGCACTCCACAAATATTCAGTGGCTGCTATTCAGCAATTAGATTTACCCATGAGGTCGAAAATGGATCGAAACTTCACTTTCTTGATGTACAGCTGGCAAGAACAACAGATGGAACGTTAATAAAACCAGTTCGCAGAAAACCAACGTAGAATGATCAATTGACAAACCGCCATAGCTTGGTGCTAACGGGTAGCAAACGGAGTCCAGTCATATTTTTTGTCACTTACACTAGACGGATCTGGAATGGTCATGTGTTGCACGAGGAAATTACTGTTTTATAGGACAGACATCATGACTGAAATTGGATTCCATCACGCTTCTTAGGCAAAACTATAGAACCAAAGCAGCATAAAGAAAACACTATTACTGTGCTAAAATAGATACTTTGTATGATTCTAAATATCAAAGAAGATTCTACCTCTGATACTTTAAAGAAGAGGATATCAAACACTCGAAGGAGAATAGTCTTTGCATGAACGCTGAGATTAGCATTATTCTGTCACCCAATGTTTTCTAACAACCTGAAGGATAAGCTTTCGCATGTTAACTCTTGTTTTTGCGTATATCAATTCATCTACTCCTATGAAACTAAACATATAGGTCGTGGTTACAAAAAGGTGACAATGGAGCAATGAGAAGTGCTACAACCGGACACATCATGAATGCGGGTCACGCTACCTAAAGAACTACCTCATTCAAAGCAATCTATAAAGTGACAGGAAACTTTCCAAAGGCTGTATATCTCGGTATTCTCAGCATCACCGGAACTTGTCATCTATATAGAAAAACGTGAAGTTTGTACACCAAAAAAGATTGTTCAACCCCTTTTCTTTTCATGGTCTTGATTTTCAGTCTTTGAAATCATCTCTCTCTTCTAACACTGTTCACTTCTTATATAATTTTCTATTCATTCTCGTTTCTATGCTCTTTCTGATCTTATCTCAGTTTCGAAATATGTCGTGTCATGACGCTTTTTATTCAAATTTATTATTCTGTATACACTTTCAGTCAGATTCTGACTGGTCTTCACTATTCATCCTAGTTTTGAATTAAATTTTGATGATATCTCATGTATTAACACGATTTCTGTTGTCATGCTTGACAAACCACTTTTAGACGAAGAAACATGCCCATCGAGTCATGGAGCAAGAAGCGATAATTCAGAGAAGAAAAGTTTATTTTTCGATAATTCCATTATCTAAAGCTGTACAATTGCTTTTATTGATACCGCGAAAGTATAACAGTTTATTATTAAACAATAGTGTATAGTTGCATCACTAAGCTATTGCTAAAAAACCTAAATCAAGAATGAAAAGTAGTTGTGTAATAATCTTTAATCTTTGGAGAGTGGAAATAATGAAGAGGACAAGGAGTTTGACAAGGTGAAAATTGTTGACAGATGAGAAATGCGAATATTTAATGTTGATGGATGTAAAGGTGAAGAAAGAAAAAAGGGTCGTAATGAAGGTGATAATAATAAACCAACTAATTATAATGAAATCGAAAAACTGTGAAAGTGTTACGATCATGGTAAGATAAGAGATTGAACATACTTCTTTTACCCACAGAGATCACACTTGAATTGGTGAATTGCTAGTGTTTCTGCTGCCCACTACTGTCGAAGGCGTACTCATTTTGAACTATTCCCTTTGACTGTATAGATGACACTGAAAAAGGTCTCTGGCAGATCTATATGTCCAGAGTTGACCAAATGTTCAAGAATAGAACCGTTAATTGATTTACAGTCTCCCCTCTACAACTGTGCAGGATAGTGCTCAGAGATACGTTGGGAAAGTGAGCGCTTTGTACAGCCTATATAACTATCTCTGTTATGTAAGAGAAAATATCGTATTTAAGTTTGACTCTGATGAACTTATTGAAAATGGCACTTTTCTTATTCGGCTGACTAGTTGTTGTTTTAAATAAGTGTTAACTGGATGCTTTCTTCACCTTTCTGTATCTTAAATTTATTCTGCGCAGATTTTATCTAATGATTTTATTTTATTGTTTTTCTTTCGTGTGTACATCTTTAATCGATATCTCTAGCGTATACGTGCAAAGTATAATCAGACCACATATGTATAGCCTATCCTGCTTATTTCGATGAAGATCGCCTTCAATCTATTTCTAACATGTCTTTCTTTATTATGTGTCCATAATATTACATTTCCTAATAATTCATCCTTTCTAATTCGGTGTATGTTTCATCTACTCACATATTTGCATGAATGCACTACCTAGAGTAAACGCCCACCTAAACTAATTCCCCCAACCTAGTGGTATGTTTAGTATATACCCATCTCATTCTCCTTTGCCTTCACCATTCAGCTTGTAAGCCTGTATATATTTATATATATATATACAAGAGTATAATCAATAGATAAATTCCCCTTTCTCTATTTTTGTGGCCTATAGGCTAACAGGCTAGCATAAAAACAACTTATCGACTCGTAAAGAAAAAGAAAGCATAAAGCATGAGAAATATGTCAGCATTATTGAATTTTTAAGAAAATGCTAACAAAATAACTTTTCCTTAATTTTTACTTCTTCTCATGAAGGCAGTAATTTACTCTGTATTCCAGTCAGTTTATTTAATTGTTGAGTACATTCTGTACTACGGTTACTTTATTCTGCACATGAAATCAGTTGTTCCAGTGGACTGTGTAACTATAAGCAACAAATGATTTCTGTCAGTTAATAATTCGATTGGCTGTTATGTTTGTTTAGTGATTTGCAAATTAACCTGATACTTATACTAATTATTACACTAATAAAACTGCAATCAGTAAATGAGTTTCTGTTGCCAATAATAACTGTTTCATTCCTGTTGTATTTAAACATTCAGATGTATTTATCAGAAAATACTTTAATAGCTACTGAATCCAATGGGTATATTAATAATGCAGGAAGATTTCGTTCTGAAATTGGTGTAATCCAGTGTAGAAAAGTCAAAGAATCTCCTTCTGGACATCCTAATTTCGTATCATTTGATTCCTCATTAAAAGCGAAGGATCTCCCATCTCCATTATCAGAGAACCGGTTGTCTGTTTTAAATTTTGAAGATAAAATTGGTGAGGATATCAGGAATATCGATGATATTAGTAAAGATGTTGATCGTCTTTCCACCAATGAAGAATTACAAGACAATGATAAAGCTGACAGTCTGAGCAACACTGATAAACTCAGTGGAGCCTCATTACTTGATAATTTCAGAAATACACTATCGCCAACAAGTATATCTTCTCAACCAGAACAGCAACAAGGGCAACAGTCATCGTATGAAACAGATTTGCATCAACTGTGTAGTTCAGTAACTCAACCACCCACAACACTAAAACCATCTCAGTCATTTGGAACGGTGACTACACCAACAAATTACGACGATGAATACTTCCTATTTGATCATGATCCAAATTCATTTTACAATAATAACACAGGAAGTAGTTTTAAGTCAACAAATACACCATTACATTTAGAAAATCCTGAACGAGAGACAAGATGGTATTTCAAGTATTTTCTTGGTAAATGTAAGTCACTTTTTTTATAAAATTTAAGTCTATTGCTGTGATCAGTTTTTTACATGTTATCATCTACTTAGTATTATTTCATTTTACGACTGAATTCATTTTTTCAAGTAGTATGAATGAGATTTCTCAAAATTACCGTTAGTAGGCTTATACAATAGCTTTGTTACACAACAGTACACTATCTAAAGCAACTGGTCCCTTTGATAACTTTAAACAGCGTAATGAGAAGACGAAGATTATCTGAAACATGTGATGTATTGGCTCTATTCATTTCGAACAATCTGATCACACGGACTTGTCGAACTATTTATGTGAAAATTTACGAAAAAGGTCACTGAAATTAATAGGAAACATAGAAATAGGAAGGGATAGAAGAAAAAAAACCTTACTCTCTTGGTATGAAAATTAAAATCAATACAACGAAGGTAGGTTCAAAGTGCGTACGAATTGTTTTTGTATACATAAAGGGGGATTAAATTACGGATCGAAAGAGCTTCAATAAATTTAAGCACTGTGCTCTGACCACTTTTATGTAGTACTTTAAAGGCTGTTTTCATGTCTATCCTATGGTTAGTTTCTAGTATATGTTTAGCGATAGACGAAGATGGATGTTTGTCACCTGCATTTATCGGATCTGTTGAGGTCACTTGTTTTGTAGCCACATAGGTACATGTTCAACCTTCCTTAACTGCATATCACGATTACTCCTCCCTATATATGTATGCCCACACATATATGTAAATTGATAAACACAGTGGGATGTGATGTAATGGTTTATATGTTGTTTCGGTTTGTGCTGTAACATGGACTTGGTCTTCCCTACAGTGATGAAAGTGAATTCAACTTTATCAGTGCATAATAATAATAAATCTTTTAAAAAATTAATAGGGATAGGGAATATAAGACTGTTAGAAGAAATATAGTCACATAAAATCAGATTGTTCGAAATGTATAGCGCTTATACATCACATGTTTCAGTTAATCTTCGTCTTCTCAGTACACTACCTATTTTTATTGTAAGTTGAAGGATAATCTAATTCAAAAACAGAAAGAGATACAGAGAAGATAAGCGTCTTTTCAACAACTCATTTTCACAGCTTTACTTTCTTAAATATACAAATACATTTTCCGGTCAAAGGTCAAACTTAATTGATATGTGTATACAGGGAATGAAATGATATTATACAACACAAGACATGATCTAAGTAGTTTTTCGCCACTTTATGGTCTGAATGCATCGAAAGCTAGACGACTAAACTTAGTTCTTAGTATTTTAACATCATTTATTTGTTGTATAAGGTGTATTTTTACTTGTGTAATTCCGGCGTAGTATATTAAAACAAGTAACAAAATAAACAAATATTTTGTAGTATTCCTCAACGTTTCGATCTTGCTAGTTTTTTCAAACCATCCAGTCCACTGTTGGTCAGGATACCTTCAAAATCATTTATTTGTATTCGTGCCATCTGACAGCAAAATGAATAAATTTACTCAAAAGACTTCTTAGTTTCTTTGTTATAAGAAATGATTAATTACATTCCGGAAAGAAGTCAAATAAAATCTCAAAATATGAGCTGATTTTCAATCTCTGCTATGTGACATGTTGATTATGAATGTTGACTGCTTTTCACGTTTCAAATAAATTTTGATCCAGTACACCATTTTTGTATTGTTTCAAGCAGTTACCAGACTCACACTACCTAGTTGAGTAAAACTGTCAACTGATCTGCTTCGTCTGAGCTTTATTAAAGTGAATCAACGACTTAATCTAACTTTATTAGATGACTTCAGGTTTATTATGTTGTTTAGATTCTTGCAATTGTCAGTGGTTAATTTCTAATGGGTGACTTCCATTCTGCTCGTTCGCATGTACAACAATATCATCAGACTACTAGAAAAACTGGGATTGTTTTTTTGCTTCCTTACAGTTTCTAAGTGATCAGTCAAAAAAGAAGGCGTTTCACTTGAGTTTAGTATTTTCCTTAAAATGAAGCCATATCTTACTTTGAAATTTTGACGATCAGACTATAAGAACTTCAATAATTGAAGTCTTCCTTTTTTCGAATTCCTACAGAATTTGTGTAGGTTACTAGTAGGGAGACAAAAGACAACTCGACAAGAGAATGTTTACTACGAGCAATTGGAATGGTAGTGGTTACATATGGTACACCTTGCACTAACCCAGCCATTTGCAAATGTCTTCTTTTCCTCCTCCATTCCTGTCTTGATTTGCTCTTAACCTGCCATTCATACACTCTTATCAGCAGCATCCCCTGTAATATGCCTGTGTTATCCCCTGAGTTGCTCTTTGTAGAAACCTTACCCATTGCCGATAATTCCCTATGATTCCTGCCACCCTCTCGATATATAATACTTATATCCGTTGTTATCAGCAACGCCCACTAAGCTAGTTTTGACATTTCTGAGTAAGTTAAGTACTAGACGTAACTATTGTTTCAGACAAACTGGCCTTGTAATAATCACTTTATTCCACAAAGTTTCCAGGTTTCAGTACTGCAACAAATTTATTGCCTTTACAACATTCTCTAAATAACAAACTGTAAGAGCAACCAAAATTTTCTAGTATTAATAGCATCATAAGGACTGATACATCAAAAGTAGCAACAATGAGGTAGGTGTTCATTGATATGAAGTTGAAGAATGAGTTCGGTTATGAGATACATGCAGGTAAAATGTGGTGAAGCATAGTGTCCTGCAATGTTGCTTCTACAGTTTTCTGCTATGAGGTTAAGAGGAGTTAGTGACAATGGAGGATGTTCAACAGGCGAATAAGTGACTATACTAAGTTTTTTGTGGGAATTCGCATACTCGTCAACGTCACTGTCGATCACTACTTTCACAGGTACACTACTAACCCTATCAATAAACTTTGATGTAAGGAAGATACCTATGTGATTTCAATTAGAAAGATACTAACTAGCAAAGATAATCCTTTTTATAATTTCTCACGACAGCTGTGCAGTTACATAGTAGTTCAAATGCATCATGAATAATGCCAACAAAGATCGAGGGTGAACGTTACTTAGTAGCAAAATGTGTTGGACTTTAAAAATGGTTTAATCTTAATAAAAATGTGAAAGCACAAAATAATGAATAGAGCTTAGAAGTGCTTGTCACTTTTTCCTGAGATGAGTTAGAGGTCAGAAATATTATACACAAGAAAGCAAGAAGAATTTCACGCAATAAAGTTGGGTTGTTAATATAGGAGTAAAACTTGAACACTATGGTAGATTGTAATTTCATTTCACTCCGTTTATTACAAATGTTGCACAGTAAGACGGAATCATTTACTGGGTAACTTTCGGACATAATTTATTATCCATATGCACACCATGCAACTCCACAACTTTGAGACAGTTTATATAATTCTAATTTTCTCTCCTCCTTTATGATATTCGTAGTAGAATTTTTCATATATCCTGAATACGTACAGAATCACTTCTATTGTGTGTATTTGTTGTTGATTTGCATAAACTCGGTGGCTGCTGGTTAGAATCCGTCCGTGGTCCAGATTTTCATCTCACCTTCAATCATCACAAAGTATAAACAAAGATTCGGTTATGAATCTTTCTCCCCACCCAAGTTTTTAACGCTGTCACTCTATCCTACCGTACTGTGTGGTTGTGTGTAGTTGCATGCAGAGCTATAGCCGAGCTTTTTTACAAATTTCCTGTCTTATTAGGATCTACCAGTCTTGATTTACCTGAGTTTTGTGTTCTCTTATTCTAATCAACCCCGGTCGACTAATTTGACCTCGCAATCCTTGCAAGGGGTTATTTTGCTTAATTCCATCGATAGGATCTTTTAACCTTCAACGCTTATTTCTAAGTGAGTTTGTTGGTTTAAATGCCACGTTAATCCCAGTCCTATTGAGAATTCTTCGTAATGCTTCTGAGGTGCGTTCCATGTGTGGTGACACACTAGAGGCCATGAATTCTGTCTCAACCCTTTTATCATTATTACCATTATTAGTAGAATTATTGTTAATAATACCTACGGTAATACTACTGCTAATATTTTTCTTTCGATTTCTTACGACTTTATTCATTAAGTTAGGTGGGTAATTATTGAGATGCAAGGTATTCTTGATGTGCTTAATTTCTTGTCGTAGATTTTCTCGCCCACTAGTAAGCTTTTCGCCCTATTACTTAGGAATCTAACTAAACCTATTTCAACAGAGATGGGGTTGGAAGGATTTGAAGTCTAAGCAGCGATTCGAATGGGTAGGTTTCCTACAGACACTAGTCTCTAGAATTCCATCTTGTGTCCGTTTAATCGTGCAATCCGACACTTCTAGCTCACCTTCATCACTTTCTAAGTCTTATGTAGATTGGATTGCATTGACTACTGAATTTATATGTGTGTGTGTTCCGATTTCAGTACTGTAAACGTCCCATCTACATATCGGTACCATATCTTTGGAGTAGGACTAAATGTTTGAAGGGCCATCTGTTCCCAACTATCCATAAAAATGTCTGAGACGATAGAGGATATTGCTGATCTCATGGCATTCCCTTCAGTTTGTTGATGTACTTTACTTTGGAACTTAAAAACTGTGGATGCCGGGCATTATCGCACTCCAAGTATGATTTCCTCGATCGGCACCTTAGTTCTGTGCCGAAGCTCATAGTCATCCTTGAGTTCATTTCTAACTGCTAGTAGAGCCATGTCGATCATTTTATTCGTGTAAAGGATGTTCGGGCTGTAAAACGGGAAATGCAGCCAAATTATTGAGTGCTAAAACTGAGGTCATTGCAGCCAAAGTGGCTTGACAAAGCGCTAAAGTATATGAAGTTCCGGATCCTCTTTGTGAATAGCTACAGCCTCTAAGGCAAAAAAGAAGACGTAATCCGAATCCCTGGATTTCATCCTACATAACTTATTAAATGAATTATGCACAGATAATGCTCGATTTAATAGGCAGTGTGCTCCAAAATAGAACTGTTTGTCAATCTGGACTCCGTTCTCCATATTCGTGT